TGTTGCTCTTTATAGGGCTGCCCTGTTAAACTCCCTCCTTTCTCCCTGTTCCAGAAAGTTTCTCTTTCCCAGGTTATTCCATTTCTTTCATCTGGTCCATCTGACACATTTTCTTTGTTCTGCCAGATTGGGATCTCCATGTTGCTCTTTATATCCTGTCCTGTTCTCTCTTTGAGCCTATTGCAATTTGTTCCTTGTAAGATATTTCTCTTATGACTTCAATTCTCCCCCTACTAGCACGCGGTCTTTGTCGTTCCAATTTTTATACTATCCTTTACCATTTCTTGTATGTTTTTTGTTATTTGGATCTGCCATTCGTTCCCTGGCTGCCTGTGTAGGTTGTATTGCCTTTTCTCCTCTTTACTTTTCTTCCTTTTCCCACCAGTATTTTCATTCATTTCCAGATCACCTCCTCTGTCCAGTTTGTTCCCTGCTCTGTTATTTGGCTTGTACTGTCTCCTTTTGTTGTTCTCGTTCCTGTCTCATTGTTCCATGGTATTTCTTTCTCCCCTAATCTTTCTCCTATTACACTCACAAGTTGGGTTCATCAACTCTTACACTTGGCATATTTGGATGTGTCCCTGGCTGGTTGTTTGCCATCTACATATTGTTTCTTCACACTTAATTCATCATCTAACTCTTTAGCTGCTCACAACTTTGCTGTGTCTTCCTCTGGTAGATATCGTCTTCCTCCTGTGACTGGGGTAAGTCATCTTTTTTTTTTCCTCTCTCTCTTTTATTGTTGCTTATACATCATATTTCAGGAATCCATCTATTGGCAGGTTTTGCCTGGTCAGGTATGCTGAATTTTATATCATAGTGCAATATCTGAATATTTCCCTAATGCTCAATGTGAAGATGGGGTGTTTGTGTAAGACTATTGGGCACTTTTCTGGTGGTGTATCTGTATCAATATATCACATTTTTTATCAATATCTATCTATCTATAGATATATGCTGAGGACAATCACTCGTGGACTTCATGAGTAAAGCAGATTGGGATTTTTGTCCATTTCTACTGACCTGTGATTTTTACAATCAAGGTCTTTCTGCTTTTCAGAATAAGGAAATGCAGACACCCATTTCACTGCCTTCAGTGGGTTGTTCCTCCAGACCCTCTCCCCCCCCCCATTGCATCATCCCCCCTCTTTCTTCTAGTGGAGCATGGAGATCCTTGCCACTTTCGGTTCCCAGTAGCTGGAGTGGTGGACCATGGAGGTTTTCTCATGAGTGGGTTTTGTACAATAACACAATCTCAAAGCCATATGTAATCACTCAATGCGAAGAGGGCTATTTCATTATGCTACCTATAATATATACATTATGGTATGAAACCTATTATGCTGGGATGTTTTCTGCCCAGATTGACTGCACTTGACATAATCCAATGTATACCAAGGGGCTTCCCCTGGGTGGATCTTTCTTGGCTATTTTGATATCAATCCATGGTGCTTCCCCTAGATGTTTTTGCCTGGGCAGATAGTTCTTGTCGATTTTACAAACTTATGCAAGGTGCTTCCATGTTGTTTTAGTACTTGGACTGCACTTGGCATAATACTTTGTATCCTAAGGAGCTTCCCCTGGATGTTTTCTGCTCGGGCAGACTGCACTCGACCTATTCATATATGGTCTGCTAGCCCTAGCCACGTATTTTATTCGTTTCCACCCTACGTGTCTTATCTTCTTTACTCAGTGAAGATCGTACCTGTTACAGAAGTAGTGATATACCCCTCAGGTGTGCCTCTTCTTTTAATTGTGGCACACCTGCTTTTTTCATAGTGGTCGCTCTCCGCTTGATTATTTGTTTTTTATGCCTTTTCACCAGCCCCTCCAACTTTCCAATGGGATTCTAGCCATGGGGGAGTGGAGGTAGTACTGTTTTGGAAGTTAACATTTTCCAACACTTAAAATGTATTTCTCATAGGTACTTACCTCCACTTTCCACCCACACTTCCTCTTCACTGATTTGTCAGTGTTCTCATGTCTGTATATGCTAATTCTTGAAAGTGAGGATTGTGCGGCAAGGGTAGATGGAGCTACCTGCACTAGTATAGAGGGCACAATGGGATTGGTGGAGTGGTCACATGATCAGCACATATTGCTGCAATGACACAAAAAATATAGGGTATAAAAGACTGTTGCACTTTTAAGAAGTTTACCAATGTCTAGAATGCAAAAGAAAGTTGAGATAGCTATGGGTGACAGGAGGTAAGTATCTGTCAGAAATACATTTTCAGTGTTAGAAAATGTTAATTTTAGTGTTTTAAATGTATATAATTAGAAAAGTATTAAACCTATGAGTTAGATAATACCAACTATCTGCAAATTTCAGTTGTAGTTATTACTATACTACTGACATAGTGTATCAAATTTTATATTGTTGCTATTGTAGATTGAAATAATGTAGTTCAAGTGTTGTTTTAACAATGTTTGTGATATACATAATATGATTAAGTTTTTGTATACTTGTTTTCTAGACTGGTAGTTCAACATAGATTCATTCTAATTATTATTCATTGATAATTTCTTTGTCTACTATGTTCCTACGCTCTGTTATGAACAAGTTGGTGTTGCATGACATTCTTATCTTGTCTTAATAAAATTAGGAATAATTATGAACTTGATGGAAGTTGCATCATCATGTAGGGACTATGTGGCATAATGAGTCTTGACAAAGTTTATTAGAACACAGAAATTTATAGCTAAATTCGATGACGAGGAACCCACTTTGAGACTAATAATGGCTGGAGACGGCTTGAATGGGTAATGAAGAAAAACTTTAATATAACAGCAAATATACAACGTTTCGACAAGGATTTGTCAATAACAAGTATATTAAGATTACAAAACCTTGGC